ACTAATCGCGACTTGTGATCTCCGGGAAATGTCTTTGCTGCGAGCGGACAATGATGATACCACGTCGTTCGGGTGTACGGTGTCTGAATACGAAGTGTAGCTCGCGGTGACTGAATCCGCCTCGAGGATGGTTTACAGAACAAGGGGGCAATAATCCCGGGGACGGTGACGGTTCGACCATTATTGTGAAAGTTTCAGAGTTCGCTCTTGGACTGCTAAAGTTCACCGAGTCGTCTCATCCGGAGACGACTGACACACGACCGCGAGACAATAAGGAATGCAGCTCAATGTGCCGCAAAAGTCGCTAGACATTGACGGATACTCGGAATTTTTTACTCGCGATGTATTACGTCATATTTTAAGAGCGAAATGCACTACTAGCTCTCTGCGAGCATTTGTCTGTTCCTCGCGCGTCACACAATAAAAAAAATCGTATACATATATTATTATTATGTTCCAAGTTCAAATTGCATCTCTCATCGGATAAAACTAAATTTAGTAATTTTATTCTGAGTTTTTGTGACACAATGTACACAAACATTGTAGAGATTGATAAATCTAAGAAGAATCTTGAAAAGATCAAAATCTAGAGACTGTGAGATTGCAACAATTGTGTTGGTTATAACTGAAAAATGCAACGCATCGTATTTGCAGCTGTTAAACGATCGACAAACACTATCAAACGTGTCAGTCATTTCTTGCGAAAATTTCATTTCATGAAGAAAGCTTATAATTCCTCGTAAATCGATTTTCCTACAACGATGCATGCTTGCGTTTGTCGCAGGAATTTACACTGCCGATTCTCGCGTATCGTTTGATCATTACGAGCGATCGATATGAAATCACGGGAATATATCGCGCAATTTTTTCTATCGGTCTTTTTATGAAAGTAACGTATCTGACGGAATACGTACACGCGCGCATAATCGGTTGTAAACTCTCGAAACAGCTTCGCGCAGTCGTTCGATCGACTTCCGGAACTCGTGAAGATCGTTCAAACGAACCGCTTAAAGGCGCAGATAAAGGAAAGATGATCGAGAAAATGTGACAATAGATGTCACATATAATATTTTTCTGTGATCATCAAAATGTGCGCAGCAGTTAGTAAAGAGCTACAACCTTATCGTAACGCCTCGCCTGTGGTTTAATGCTTATGTGATCACGAAGTCTATTAAAAAACAAAATGAGTTGCAAAAGATGTAATGTTCTCTACTTTCTATTAGTGTAATTTTCTTGAAAAACTCGTACATTAAAGTGATACATTAAATTTAATAGTGTAATACATTACACAAAACGCGTTTACATGAATGTACTATGTTATTCTAATTCACAGATAAAATTTAAAAAATCCACTTCGCAGATGTCGTATCGAGTTCCAGTAAAATATTCTGCCACTCTCGTGATAAAAGAAATTGTTATCTTTCTTTTAGTGAACAAAACGCTTTAAAACGTGAAATTTAAACTGTCCGAAAGAACAGTTCTACCACCACTTTTATATGTAAATGTTCTTTTTTGGATCGTATTGTTTAATCGACTATTCGTCGACTCGTATAAATTTACGTTCGCTAACGTTTTAAACACAGAGCAAGCGTGATTTGATATCTTGTCGTAAGAGAGTTTATGTTGTACGAACAAATGTTTATTTCGCGCGAACAAATGTTCTACAAATGTGCAGACAGACCTTTGTTCTTCTTTCTCTCTCTCTGATACATTGTATTTAACACTGATTAATATATTTTTATCAATAAAGCCCGATTTTTTCATACCTTTCGATAGCTATCCTCTGGATAAAGATATACAAAAAGATATACTTTATCTTTTAGATAAAGTTATTGAGAACTTATCAGAGGTGAAAAAATTGGGCATAAGTCTATCAATACAGAATAACTTAAAATAACAAATTTTCTATTTTTTTCGATCATCGACATCTTAATTTTAAACACTATCTAAATATATATTCTACTCTTATACATATATTATATCTTCCATCCTTTCGAGGAAATACAGGAGTATCGAAACGTCATCAAATAATAAAACCTCTAGTAGTTTCGTGCGACATATGAAAGCGCGCGTGCAGAGTCATGACGCTCGAAAATTCAACCGTAAATAATGCATTGTGATGAGTCTCCGGATATCAGAAACACCGACAGAATATCCCATTTCACGAATATTCTAAACCGCCCGTTAAAAGGCGACTCCGACTGCAGAGAGGCAAGAGCAGTTCCCAAATCCCTTTAACTTTCGGCGTTGGGGCTCGGCAGATGTCTACAGGTTACTCCGACGACATGTAACTACCTATGTGGCGTAACATGCTTGCCCAGTAATATCCGCGGTTGTCTATAAAGGGAGTTCACAAACGACTTCTACCCTTTTCCTCTCACCGCATTTTCCCTGCCGTCCTGCAACGATCACGCGCGCGGAATGCGCGAGTTCCCGTTGAAAAGCCTGCGGGAGCAAGTATAGATGCGCGACGTGTAATGTTGCTACGTGCCGATCTAGCCGCTTCTGGTTTTGCAGAGCGAATGCGGTTTCGCGGAATTGTTTACGAATTTCTGTGGATTTCATGTCGGTAAATATGTGGCCGCACCGTGGAAATTAAATTTAATTCATGATTCTAAGTACGGTCAAACCTCTTATAATTTAAGAGGTTCGACCGTACCTTTCACTTCTCAAACATCTTCTATATTTAAAGAAACTGTTCTCTCACTTTTCAATTTCTTTAATCCTGTACTTTTACTCTACTAGATACAGTGGTAGAGTGAAAAACAACATGCACTGATCACGCATGTGTAGACTGAAATAACTGTTAGTGCGCCATTACGCACTCGTGCACTTTTTCGCGCAAGCGCTAGATTTTCCACAAAGTGAAAATAGAGGAAACAGTTGAAGTTGAATTATAAGAAATCCGACATGTTTATACTCAAAATTAAGGTGCAATTGAAAAAAAATTGAAAATTTGTTATTTTAAGTTATTCTGTATCGGATAGACTTATTAATAAAAATACATTGATTGGTGTTACAAAAAATCTGAGATATTACAAAGTAAACATTATGGTTTGACTTAAGTATACTTAAGTTATCTTTTCTTTATCAAGTTGTCATAACAAAGTGACGATTTGATGATAAGAATACTGTTGAAGTTTAAAATCAGCCTGAAGTGGAAAACGGTTCGTGGATATGTATGGCAAACGTTTACGAGAAGGGAAATGGTGCTCGCATTTACAGTAGTTTACATTTTACAATAATCTTGAACTTTGATGACCGCGAGTGGAAAGCGGAATGGAAAGGTAGATTGTACTGCTGCTACGTGCCAATCCGCTTTCTCGAGGTTTTCGTACAAACGCGATTTTCAGTTGCAAGCCTCGGGGTAAGTTTACCAAGGGTATATGGGTAAATATGCGACTATTCTGTTTTTCCGTACATAAGGATAAGTAGTTTACCATCGAACGAATGTTTACTTGGTATTCTGTGGTCTCGATAGACTGCCAGTGGAATACTAAAAGTCTATACAAGATTAGTGTTTGTTCTGCGCTTGAATTTTGAAATTGAATTAGATTAAAAACTTGGATTAATTCAACTGAACTAATATTGAAAAATAAGTTGAAAAAGTTCTTGAACAACTTTTTTATGTTTTATTCATGGATTTCTCCTTGGTTGGCGACAGAGAAAAATATACGTTATAAAATATCACGCGCTTTACGTACATGCCTTTGGAGGGATTTCGATTGGCTTCGGAGAGAAAAAACGGCCTAAACAGTTTGCAACCCATCATTTCTTCCGTATAATAACGGATCATGAAAAACTCACACGCGTCATCGCATCGTAAGCCCGCAATCTACGTTGGATGGAAAGAGGATCCCTCATACATTTTCCAAGGATCTTTACAGCTCTCAGCGCCCTGCAACCGTGTGTACTTTAATTAGCTCGACGTTCCCCGTCTCGTTTGGGTTGACGGTACCTTTCAACCTTCTACCGACCGATTCTACGGAACATTCGCGAGATTGTCTCACGTGCCGGAGCACAAGCTTTATTTGCCCTAAACTTTGCCGTTTCGAGACTAGAAGTTACTTGAAATCAAAGTTTAAGCGAAGTGACAGCACTGCGTTATCTTGAAATCTTAATGGAAGTGACGACACAGTGATCATCTCGTTGTCGATGGAACTTTATTGTTTGGGATGTGTCACGATCGAATGTTTGCAAACTCGACCACTACTCGCAACATTGTTTTATCGTAATTGGATCGTAATGTGAGAAACGAGTGTCAAATGACTTGACAAAATTAGAAGCTGCTTGTTACAGTATACAAGCTCATGACTATTTAGAAACATTCCCATTTATACACAAACACACACACACATAAGCATTACTTACAAACCTAAATTTTAAAAAATACAACACTAAACTAAAAAATAAACATAAAAATAATTGACTAATTCTTTTTCTTTTTTTTACATGTACATTCAATAATACATTTTATAGTACTTCGGTTTACCGTCGGCTAATATTTAAACTTAGACTGATTCTTCGTTTTTCAAAAAGTATTACAATAGCGTTTTTTGCGTTATATTCTAAATTAAAACTTAGCTTAGGACTCTTATAAGTATTTAAAAATGTTTTTCTATTCCGTCTCAAACGTTATTATCTCACCTTGTCAAGATGTGAATAACAACTTTCTATTACTGCGTTACAAAAAACAGAAATTCATAAATACAGAGATAATTGAAACGTGATGTGATCTCTTATTACTTATCTAATATCAAATACGTGATATTATCGAAAGGACTTTAGACTGAATATTTTATTTTTACTAATTCGAACTGACTTTCGATATCTTAGATATGGCAAGTGACTTTCTGAACATGATCTTTGTCGATTCTGCTTCAAAGTGAATGAGCTTATTGATTTACCACTCGAGATTGTTTATTTGTCGTAAAGGACAAGTGTGTACGCTATTTGTATACAAATGTTGCGTAAGCACGTGTGCCAGCGTGATTACGCAAATGACTTCTAGCTTAAAGACGACTACTTAATGACGATAAATGAACGTTATCTACCGGAAAGGAAAAAAATAGTGTGCCGAGAGTCGTGCCAGTAATCATTATGACTGTACAAATACATGTACATATTACGAAGAAACCACGGCTACAAACGGAGATAAGTTAACGCCGTTCGCAACGTTTGACGTGCACGCCTCTCGTGCGTCGACAAGAAACTTTCTTCTTATCAACATTAGTTGTCGCCGCTGTCGCACAAGTCTCACGAACGACGGAAAGAATCGCTCAGAAACGTGCCGGCTCTCGCTTTCGTTCCTACGAGTTTCTCTCTTTTCCGTCTCTGTTGCGTCAACAAGCGAGATTCCTGGCGCGCCGCGTATAGTATCACAAACACGCGTGCTTGTGCGTTCTACGTCGTGTGTAACACAATATGACGACATTGACGGCCGAACATGAGTACGGCGATTTTCGAATGCGATCGCGCAGAACGAAGAGTGTCACGAGAGCGGAGGAGATCCAGAAGGCGGAATTAATGGTCCGAAAATCGCAACCTGACAAACCGTAAGTACATACACACTGTTATGAATTAGTCTCGCTTGTCTGCTCGTACGCTCGAGTGCCCAGTCATGCCTATCAATTGCGGTATCCGTTTGTCACGATGACACTATCTGCGAAATATAGATACGATGACGATGACAAGAAACGTGCACTGTCCCATGATGACGATGAAGACAACATTCACCACATCGCCAAATACGCGACGGCGCGATGGTTTTTAGTAACCGAAACGCACGACATAATAGACGCGCTTCGTTTAACGTGCGCATGCGTGCTGCCTTAAAGTATCTGGCGTGGCGCCACGGGAGGAGATGTTCGTTCTCGCTCCATCTTGCTCCGTTCTGTGTTCCGCGTCTCACTTCGATATGTATTGTAATCGATGCGCGGAGGTCAGCTGTCTGGCGTTTTGCGTGTGCGGTTGCGAGTTACAGCTCGTTTCACAGATACATCGCGTAGATATATATCTGACAAGCTGATTGTGAAATAATGAACTCAGGTATGCGCACATGTTAAGAAAAAAGCAATAGCAGAGCCGTCCGACGTTCGTTATGCAGATTTTTGCGTTTTTTTTTAACGTGCGCTACACCTGACTTATCTATCGTGTTAGATCAGACTTTTAAAGAATATAAAGTCTATATACATTGTGTAAAACTTGTATCTTAGATTTTAGATTACAAATCATATTTTGAATAACATTTATGAAGCCAAATAAAGCGAAATGAATTTTCTTATTACGCTTATAAAGTGTGTGATAATATATTTCTAAATATAAAAATTATTCTCCAAACAAACTGATGTAATATGTTAACACAATTCGGACACCGACGATACATCTTCTCGAAAGTAAAACTTGTTCGAAGCGAATATTAAGCAATATTAAGTAGTGATAATTATTTTTTCGGAATGTTTGATGATCACACTTGATGTGTTGTTACATCATTAATGACACGTTCAAGTACATACGTTGCTTCACAAACCGAAGGTCAAGTGTATATAAAATATTTCAAAATGGCGTGTACATGGAGCATGAATCTTTCTTTTCAAATGTGAGATTATCGATATAAGCTACACATAAAGATAATTTGCACATAATTTGTACATAATAACGCTGCAGGTTATAAATATCGTTTTTTTCGTCAGTGACTTATTGACATTGTCTTATTTCTATAAGATATAATGAACGTGAGCAACCATTAAATACAATTGAATTAATTCAAATAAATAAGGGTTAAAATGTACATTTATAATTTGTGAAGATTTGATAAAAATGTCTTTTTTATTCTTATAAAATAAAAAAAACGAATTTAGTTATGGAAATAGTATTATATCACTAACTTTTATTTTATGCAAAATTATGCACGGTTTTTATGTACATGTGATGGTCGATCAGTCGATTATGATCTGAAAGCCTTAAGTGATGTTGTTTGCGTCGTTCATTTGACCTCGACGCTTCAAATAATAGCGTGGCATTAAAATTGTTTCGACAGCACGTTGAGAATATACAAGATATAAAATTAGATGCCTATATTGCGAGGAATATCGATCATTAATAGTGCAAGCAATTATTCCGAAGTTAGGCACTTGCTTGACTGGACAAATCTCGTTTGTCAAACTGGAGCATAAGTTTCTTCCCGATTGTCTATAATTAATGCACACTCCTTGCTACTTTAGAACGTCACGTTCGGAAACGATCTATTCTATTCGAAACGTCCATCAACAAAGTCAAGGTAGAGTTTGCGTGCATTATGCTTACAACTTTGACTGTAAATCAATCTTTATTCAGATCGATCGCGCAAATTGAATATTGAAATTTGCATTTTGTCTCGTTGACATCATAAGTCAAGTCAAATTTAATAAAAAAAAAAAAAAAACAGATTAGAAAGTTTATAATGATAAATATGTGTATTATTGGAATAACATTTAAGAATTCTAAAAACTTTACACAATTCTATTCTGATGAACTAATAACTTTGATCTTATATCTCATCCGTATTCTGAAACTACTTTCGTCGACTGAATTTTGCAAGATCGTAGGTCAAGGTTAAGGACAGCGAACTTTCGATCACGCAAATGCACGAACAGTTTAAACACCTCCGTGCGCCTGGTGCGCCTAATTAAGCTCTGGGCTGTGCTGAGGTTTTGCTTCGACGCCTTGGCAATCCCTTCACGAAAGTAGTCGTCACTCTCGAGCGACTTCCGGAGCTACCGACGCGACGGTGGAGTGAAACGCAGAGCAAAGTACGCGCGCCGGAAACACCACGTTCTCGTGCCGTTAATTAAAATGTTAATTTAGGTGACGCAGCAAAATCGTTCTGATGCAACGTGGTCGTTAAGCTTCTTCTTATCGATCCACCCTGTGTGTGTTTATACACATCAGTTTTTCTATTATTCGAAATAAAATGTGCACATACACAATTCAATCAAGTTTTTATTTTTCAGAATTATTGATTTTTTTCATATATATATATATATATGTATAACAAAAGTATTTTCGCAAAATCGCGAGCTTTTTCTTTTACATTTCTTCTTAATTAAATAAGCGTCCAATGAGAATTATTTCTTACTTGAGGAAAAAAAAGAATATTTTTTTGTGCTGCAGGTAATTGCAACTATGCAATTACATGAGTTCAGGAATTCGACTGCTCTATTATCAAGTACGTTTCCCGCTTGGTCGAGCATTCCACTAGCAATGGGAACCTAACAAATTGATAGGTCATTCATGATTTAACTCGAAGTATAGAATACATGCTTTGGTAATCTGAATCGCTAATCAGAGTAGGTCGATTTTGTATCAAATTGCTTGCGCATTAATAGAACGTTATCGACGAATAATATCTAATGAAAGAGAATACCGAACAGGGTACGACAATATTTTTCAGTATCATACATGTTTTGTGAACCATAAAAAAAGCAATTAAAAAAATTTTGAATAATAAAAATCTTGCTTTTAAAAGATTTGATTAAATTACTAGCCATACAAACGTATTTTATTTATATGCTACGAGGGTACGATGGAACATACATGTGATATTATAAATATATTATTTAATGTACATTTTCAACTCTTATACACAGAGGTTTCATATTGAAAAAATACGAAATATTTTTATAATTATTTGCAGTGATTTTGTAGTACAATGTAGTTTGTAATACATATTTGAATCTATATAGTTGCAAGAACTGTTACTGTATGTAATTTGGTTTTATTAACAAACGTTTTTATTAACAAAAAAATATAGTATCTTTATTATTAAAAAGAATCGTAAAATTAAATAACAAAATACTATAATAATTAAACGGAATATATTATGAAATTGATAAATAACATATTTCTAATATTATACTCTATAATGGTGGATATATACTTCGATGAACAAAAACACATTTCTCATGGAAGTATCTGAAATCACCTATTACATATTTTATATTATTCTTTCTTGTAAAAAATATATCGCGCAATTTGTTACGCGTTAACTTTTTTACGTGTCTCTTTTCGCATAGACATATGTGTTCTATTGCCGGTATCCCGTGCCTCTCACTAAGACGGGAGGAAAAAGGGAAAGACAGAGTAAAAGCCACTCCTCTTCGGTACGATATAATGACTTGCAAACAAGAGTTTCTTGTTCTTGAAAATGGCGAGTCTCTTTTACCTTGCCGCGTCGCAGCTTCTTTTCCATTTCGCGATCCTTCTTTAGTCTTTTCGGCCCGCTTTCTTATGTCGGCGAATTCATTCTCGAACAAACGATTCTTATATTTACTCGCGGTGTGTTTGTCGAGCGTTTTCTCGTGTTTTCGTGAGTTTGCAATTAGACGCGCGATGGCAGTCCGGGCAATATCGGATTCTCGTCCTCTTCTTTTCGCGTGCGAGCGAGCAAGGTTTAGAGAGAGGCAAGGCGGTGCAAGAAGGGCGGTACCGGATTGCTTGCCAGTGTATTTCCGGAATGTCCGGGATTGACTTCGGGGAGTTTCCGATCTCTCTCGTTCCCGATTTCGACGTAGCGCAGTACCTAGAACGTGTTTGCCGAATCGATTCGGCGGTTCGCTTTCGCCTCTTACCGTTAAAGGGAATGGCTATAAGTTTACCGATGCATTGTTTAACCACGTTGCAACGCTGACTCAGCGGAGCAACAATCGATTACCGCCGAAGACAAGATACAAATTGGTGTGTTCCGCTTTGCATGTTGTTAGAGAAGATTAGCGGTATCAAATATTATGTCTAAAGTTTGCATAAACTAGTTTAGTTGAAGAGCCGATACATCTTCTAATAAAATGTAAAATTAAAAATGACTATCTTATAATGAAAATATTTTTAAATAATAAATGTGTAATGATCACAATTATAAATAAATAAAATATAAAGAAATTCCATACAAGATGAAAAAATTTCGATAAAACTTCCTAGATAAATATACCATTCTTTGGTGATTAGAAGGGTGCGCGGCATATTGAAGTGGGGATCTTGCTTTCAAATTTTAATTTACGCCAAGCTGCTCTCGCCGCATTATTATCGCGTGCACCGATACTAACTCCAGCGTCAGCTCTATGTGCGCCTACGCTCCGACCAGGTAACGCGTTTCTCTGGCAAAAAGCCCCTTAATAAACCCTGAAACCACGCGTCATCCCCGCGCGGCAGGCGGCAAATTTTCGCCCCAACGTTCAACGTGCCGCAGCAAATTTTTGCCTCTCGTCTACCTATTCCACCGCTCTTTCCTCCGTCGCGACTTTTTTTGCATTTCGTCGAGTTCGGCAAAAACTTTTAATCTCTCGCGAGCCTGGCGTAGAGGACCGTCTCGCGTAGCACCTTCGAAACGGATGAGGATTAACGCTATTGTGCTGTCAATCCCGCAACCTTTTCTACTCAGTGCCGCTGCCTCGCAATTTTTATCACCGTTCTTTCTTTTTCTTCTGTCTCTTGGCTCCGGCCGACCGTTTCCACAGTAAGATTGTAGGTGGTGGATTTCGCGCGCGAAATCAGGCGGAAGAACAATGGCGGCGATTACGCC